CCTTGACAAGAAGCTCTTGCATGCGACGAAGGAACGCAAGATGGTCGTCGCTCTCGGCTGTGCGCGGCAAAGTAGCGTCCAGCGGGGATGAGATGGGTGAACCATGCTCAAACTCGAACGGCGACATCCTGATAGCCGGGTGGATCGATGAGTTGTAAGCCAACTCAACGTCTGGCAAGCGCTCAACCCAATCAACCTGGTCGGGACGGATGAGAGTGCGGAGAAGGACTTGAGCGGTCTGATGCATCCTTTCTGTTTGACCATCGGTTTGAGGGTGGCGAGCCGAACTCGGCTTAGAAGATGAGTCGCATCGCTTGACGAGGGCGACCCAAAAGTCGGAGGGAAAGCGAGTATCTCGGTTGCAAACGATCTCCTTGGGGTAGCCCTTGGAGCGAATCCAACCGGTTTATAAGACCTCGGCTAACTCCGGTGCCTTTGCGTGATAGCGGCAAGGGAAAAATATGGCGTACTTGGTGAGGCGGTCGACGACTGTGAGGATCCCATCAACGCCGGTCCTGTGCTTCGGGAAGGGGCTGGTGATATCCATAGCAATTGCTTCCCGTCGCCCAAGGGGTACTGGTAATGGGTGTAGCTCGCCAAATGGACGATGGTTGCGTGACTTGCAACGCCGACAGACTTCGCACGACTCACAATAGCGGGTGGCGTCCTTGAGAAGGTCGGCCCAATAGAACCGCTGGCGAAGTCGGCCAAGTGTACGGTTGACACCAAAATGTCCAGAGGCAGGCGCATCATGAAACTTGCCAAGAAGTCGTGTGCGCAAGTGTGAATCATTCGGCACACAAAGAAGATCCTTACCYCGTGAATGCACAAGTAAGTAGCCCTCTTGGATCCGATAATGCGAAGGCACCGGATTCGGAGAGGAGCAATTCGCGTACTTGTCGCGAAAGTGGGGGTCGGCTTGATAGGCGCGGATGAAGCTCTCCCGCAAGTCATCCTCGATCTCGAAGGTAGAGTAGACTGCGCTGCAAAGATCCGGTCGCCGTGAGAGGGCGTCCGCAAAACGGTTTGACTTCCCGGGAATGTGATCGGGGAAAAAGTCAAACTGGTCGATGAAAGCCATCCAACGGGCAATGGTACTGTTAATCGTGTCTTGCGACTTGTAGAATACCAACGGATTGTTATCCGTTACCCATCGGAATGCTTTCCGACCAAGGAGGAAATGTCGCCAACGCTTGAGTGCGTGGACGAAGGCAAGAAGCTCCTTCTTCCGTGCATCGTCGATCGAATGCACGGGAGGTACTTTCTTGCTAAAGTACTCGACGGGGTGCCAGTCCGTGCCATCGTGCTGCTCAAGGACGGCCCCAATGCCATAGCCCGACGCATCGGTAGTGACTCGCGTAGCTAGAAGCAGGTCGTAAATATGTAACACCTCGGCGGACGAGAGTGCCGCTTTGAGTGTCTCAAAAGAATGGCACGCGTTGTCGTAGAAGTCAAAAGGCCGCTCCTCGCTTTGTAACTTGCTTAGGTTGGCCGCGATCTTCAAGTAACCCTTGATGAAGCGCTGATAATAACCAGCCAAGCCGAGGAAGGATCGGACGTCCGTAACATTCTTCGTCTCGGGACACTCCGGGATGGCTTGAATCTTGGCCACCAACGGACGAATGCCTTCTGGAGAGACAAAATGACCCAAGTATTCAAGCTCTTGCCGGACAAACTCGCATTTGTGGCGGTTAGCTTTGTACCGGGCTGACCGAAGAGTCTCTAGAACACGGCGAAGGTGCTTGAGATGCTCCTCTGCTAGGGCGGATCCAACCCTTGTCGAGTAGCTCGTCGAGTTGCGCACGGAGAACCGTGAGCTCCTCCTCAGACATGCGATAAATGCATCATTTCGGTGGCACGGCGCAGGCCTCAAGTATGATCTCGTGAGAGATTGGCCGGTCCGGCACTATACCTGAGGGTGTCTCAAAAACATCCGAGAACTCGTCTAACAACCGGGTCANGAGGGTGTCTCAAAAACATCCGAGAACTCGTCTAACAACCGGGTCACACGGGGGTCGAAAGACACCTCTGTGGACGATGAATCGGTCGTCAGGACGGTTCGAAGCAAAGAGATGCCAATCTCTTCGACATGCTCGGAACGGCATGTGTCTCGAAAAGATTTGACACTCACGACTTGGCACCTAATGGAAGAGCGAGGAGGAGGAATAGTACACGGGACCTCGGCGCCAGTTGCATCACGAATCGTGAGCGTGCGTCGATGGAAATTGACCGTGTGGTCCACGCTAGAAAGCCAAGGCATCCCCAAAATGACATCCAAGTCGGTGTCCAACACGTCAAAAGTGACGGGTTCACATGCGTGCGGTGCAAAGTACACCGGGACAGCCGAGATGTAACGGTCCAAAAGCTGTTTCGTCTTACAGTCGGCAAGAGCGACCGTCGTCGGATATGACTTCCTCCGTACTTGTGCGCTAAGGCCAGCCCGAGTCATGAAGGACTGGCTGATGAAGTTGCGAGTTGCGCCGCAATCTAGCAAAGCGTTGCAGACCGCTTGCCCAATCTGAATGCGAACGTAGAGCAACGGTGCGTTGTTTTCTTCGTACCGTTGCGAGACAAACTCGCGGGCCACCTTGGCAACTTAGCCAAGCATGTCCCCCACCTCGACTTCGTTTACCGTCGACGAAGTTGGTGGTGCATGGAAGGAAAGATACTCGTGTAAGAGGGCGCATAGGGCTGCACTTTGCAGTCCCGGAAGGTTGTCCGTCGTAAGGAGAGGAATCCAAGCGAAGTCCTCGGGCGTCAGCGGGTCCAAAGACTCTTGGTTGAACATGCTTGCCGAATCCCTTGATGAAGACAAACTGGCGGAAGAACCTTCGGACGGTGAGAAAGCCGCACATATATCTTGTCCTTGAGAAGCATCCAGTGAAGGAACGAGCCGGGCAGCGAAGTCTTCGAACAAAAGTGGAAGACTCCCGACATCCGCATATGCCTCGTTAGAAAGGGCGGTCGTGCGCACAACCGCTTCCGATGGCGTCGAGGGAGGTGTCGAGTCACCCTTGGCGGCGCCTACTTTCCCTGACGGGGTTTCCCCTTGGTGCGGCAATGTGCAACATCGTGGATGGTGCTGTTGCACCAAAGGCAGTAACGGTACTTGAGTCTCGTGTGATGAAAATTCGCTGAGAGTCCGTATTGTGCCCAAGGTTCGTCGGCGGCTGATCCAGTGCTCGGTGTATAGGTGGACTGGGTCTTAGTCTTGTCGCGGCCGTGGTTGTTGGGCGGCCGGCCACCATCCCGGGGAGCTGCCAACACTTCACCCTCGTTTGGTGTTGCAACCTCGGTAGAAGTAATGCAAGCCACCTTTGGCTTGGGCTGGGTGCCGCTCGTCGTCGCGGAAGATCGGCCGGCGTTGCGGGCTTCAATATTCGTAAGAATGATCCGTGACGCGGTGCTGAAAAGCTTGTCGGATGTGTCGAGTGTCTCTGCAATCTGCGTCAGCGTGTTTTGCAGAGCTGAACACGAGCCCATGATAAACAAGTGCTTGATGGGGCGGAATCCGAGCGGCAGGTCAGGTGTGGATACGAGTCTTTGGAACTCGGTAATCCAGTCCTGACTGAGGAGCGTATTCTGATGGATCTTGTTGAGCTTGTCCATCGCTTGCAGGTCGGGCGGCTCCACTTGGAATCGCTTGTGCGAGACATCCGTCAACTCCTGCCAAGTGAGCTTGGTGTGCAGTTCCGACACTGCTACGCCGTGGCTGGTCAAGATGTTGTCCAGCCATGCTTGACATGTTGACATGCACCACCAGATCGGTGGTACAAGCACTGGACTGATCGCAGAAAACTGGAATGTCATCCAGTTTGGGTGGGCGCCGGGAGGATGCGGCGGCGGGCGTCACGGTGGCAGCAGCCTGTACCTGCGTCTCCAACTGCAAGTTCGTTGCTTGCTGCGACGTTCGGAAGTCCTGATGCACACGCTTGATGTTGTTGACGTCATCCTCCAAAACTTGCACACGGGTGGTAAGGGTGGAAGGCTCTGCGCCTGCTACAGCAGCTGGCTGTTTCTCCAACGCCTGCACCCGTGCGAGCATCTGGTCCAGTGTCTGCTCCAGGTGAAGGATTTCCTCCTCCTGCACAGCACAGGTGGCCACGAGGTCGTGGGAGACCTGCGGAAGGGCTGAAAACCCTTTCTCAGTCTCCGGGGCCCCGTCTGTAGATGTCACTTCCATCTAATGTGCGGCCTCATTGCCGATCATGGTCTCCCGCGTGAACAGTCGTTCCCGCTGGCGTGACCGGTGTTCGGCTGCCGTCTGCAGGTCTGCCTCTTCTTGACGAAGTCGGTCCTGTTCTTCCTTCTGTCGCTTGGCCTCCTCCTCTTGTTTGAGCCGATTACGTTCCTTGGCCGCGGCGGCGGCCCTATCGTTGGCCTCTTGAATGAATGCCGCCTGGCGTTCCTCATAGGCCAGRAGGGATTCTCCCGCCTTCCGGTCCATGGCCTTGGTCTGTGATCGAGTGAGCAGTGTCATGCACTGCTGTGCCCGAAGTCTGAAGAGTCACCCGAGGGCCAATCTGATGGACTGGCCCAGTACCCGGACTGGAGTGGGAGGAATAGGTAGGAANATGCACTGCTGTGCCCGAAGTCTGAAGAGTCACCCGAGGGCCAATCTGATGGACTGGCCCAGTACCCGGACTGGAGTGGGAGGAATAGGTAGGAAGCGGACAAGTGGGAAGGATCGGACAGATCCCAATTTGAACAATTTCCTAATCAAAAAGAAGAAAAACAAAACTTCAAAATTCGAAAAAAGTCTGTCCAATCCCACTGAGTACCGAAGGTGATGCAGAAAGCAAATGTGAACCTTCGGTTCTCGGACTGTAGAGAATCAGAAAAGAAGGGTCTTTATAACTCAGAGTAGGAGTAGGTTGCAAAAGAAAAAAAATGCCATTTTTTTTATTTTTTTTTCAAAAAAAAGAACAGAATTTGCAGACCTACGAAGTGAAAGTGTAGAGGGACAGTTTCGGAAAAAAGAATCACGAAATTATCAAAATGCGAACATTTAACAATTAAACAAGGTAAAAAAAATTCAAAGAACTAATTTCTCAGGAAGAATTTTCTCGGAGAAAGAAATCATTTCTCGAAAAAAAAAAATTCTCGATAAAAGAAATAATTTCTCGAAAAAAAATTCTCGGAAAAAAAAATAATTTCTCGAGAAGAATTTTCTCGGGAAAAAAAATAATTTTTTGAAAAAAAAAAATCTCAGAAAAAGAAATAATTTCTCGGAAACAATTTTCTCGGAAAAAGAAATAATTTCTCAAAAAAAAAATTTCGGAAAAAGAAATAATTTCTTGGGGAAAAAGTAATCAAATAATTAATTCCGGAAAATTTCCAAGATTAAATAAACAATTGGCAAATAACCAATCAACCTAATCAATCAATCAATCAATCAATCTCCTGATTGACTGATCAATCAATCGAAGATCGATTGGTGGCAAACCGCCAATCCAATAAATCAATCGATTGATTGGTTGTTGCCAAGATTCATCGCCAATGCTCCGATACCACTTGTAGCATATCAGAAAGTGAAATGCACTGACAGCCTAAGATCTAGCAATGACGAAAGTGGCAACAACCAGCAGCATAGGTGCAATATTCACAAGATGTCAATGTGCATGATGCAAAGAGCAACCCAACGAGAAATCAACAACAACACATTCGTATCATTATCATCATGGGCTGTGAAGCAGCGCAGCTGAATATCTAGTAACCAAAGGACACATGAACAGACAGACACGGATAAACTACGGAAGGGCAAGACATCAGAAAGATTGCCCTTCCGCTCACACACATGGGGAGAGATCCATAGACATGCGAGACAAAGAGGGGGGAGACATAGGCAAGCAAGTCTAACCCAAGTCAGATCTCCAAATGTCATACACAGTCTAATCCCAGTGTAAGTCCGATGTGAATGTCATGTCCAATAAGGCAGAAGGCCGTGTTCAAACAATGGCTGCACTTACCTCTATCTCTACTCTGAGAAGAAGAAGAAGAAGAAGAAGAAGAAGAAGAACTTCGGAGGAATAGGAGGAGAAGAGGAGAGGAGAAGAAGAAGA